GTAATTAAATAAGGTCGTATGATTTACATGGACCTGAAATCATTTCAGGAAATAGCATAGAATGAAACACATCACCAAAGTGATAAAACAGCTATAAAATGAATTAAATACTGTTATTCTTACACTGTTTTCTTATTCGGTTGAAACAGTTATTTCTGAAAATTTTCAAACAATAATTTTATTGAACTATAATATTTTCCCAAATTTTACGAATTTATCATAAATTTGCAACAGAAACCGGGTTATTGATCTCTAATTGCAAGTCTTATTTCTGCTTCACAGTGAAGTAAATTAAGCGTACAACTAGCCTTTTTGTAACCTTTTTTTGTCGTATTTTTAAATTACTTTGGTTAATTTTTCTTTACTTAGTTTTTGGTCCGTATTATATAGAAGTATATTTTATAGATTTTTACCCTTTTCTAATTCTACATTTCTTCTCACAGTCGAGTCCTTTATTGATCCCATCAAATTTTTAATGTTTGCAATTAATATTTTAATCATTCATTGAGCCTTTTGTTTACGATATAGCGTTAGTGTTCCAAATCTTAGGATATACAAGCCGCAGCGCGTCAGGCCGAAAGTCATTTGAACTTGGCATTTGAAGCTAATAAGATGTATAAAAAGTGCTAGAATTTTTTAGCAGTTAGAGGAAGGGTAATGCGCCGTGAAGATAAATGAGCTTTCCGGAAAAACTGCACTGCATTTTACAATTTCAATTCGATGAAGATACGAATGCCGAGAAGGACCGTAAAGAAATTTTCCCCCTTTACGTGCAAGACATGTTATGTAAAGCAACAGACGAAAGGCGGTTCTGTCGCTTTCATTCTGGAAACTCCATTGCTCAAGATGTTTTTTCTAATGAGGGACCAATCACAGGAAAAGTGGGAGATATTCTGGTCAAATCGAGCAATACCGGAATGTAAGAAGTCATGAAATGGAATGTAAATAGTCAAGCACAAAACTGTTCACCATTAAACATTGCTAAACCATTTGGAGAAAGTTGGCTGCAAAAAGAAACTCTACGTTTGGGTGGTACATGATCTGACTTAAAATATACACGATCGAATTTCTATTCTATCATCTTATCACAATTACATTTTAGATATTGTTAGTTGAAGGTATGCGCTTGAGATTGTGATTATTTAAAACAATAAAGTTCTCACGGTTACGGCCACAGTGAACAAAATTTTGAAAGTTTCGAATGGTATCACCCATATTTTTTCCTGCGTAAACTGATTAGCGCATCGAAAAACCATAAATATCATCGGCACGATACACGTATGGCGAAAATTGCCCCTTTAAATCATTTTCAAACAGAAGATTGTAAAGGACCAATAACAATACAATAGAAGATAAGCAAAAAAAATGTTTTAGAGGCATTAAAAGTTTTCCATGTGTACAACGTTTCAAGTTAGAGTCATCTCCCGTAACTTTACAGTTTCGTGGCGACCGCGATCCCTCGACCTTACTCCGATGGATTTATGGTTCTGGAGTTATCTAAAATGTAAGGTGTGCTCATCAAATCCACAAGATTTGTCAAATTTGTCATAAAGCGTAAAATTATGCAGATTCCTCGTGCTATGTTACGTTCGTCATTGTAATCAACAATCTCCCGCGTGCAGTGCGTATCGTTTGCAAAAGTTTGTACATTGAGAACTTGTAAATTACAAAGAAAGTTTTTAACTCTCTTCTCTCGTGTTGTTGCTGGTTCTTTACAATGCTCTTCTTTACAAATGCTTTACGCCGGCAATTTTCGTCATACGTGTATCGTTCCAACGCCATTTATAGTTTTTCATTGCGCTGATCAAGTTGAGCAGTAAAATATGGGTATTTCCAGTCGGAAATTTCAAGCTTTTTCACTGCAACCGTAATCGTGAGATCTTTATTGTTTTGAATTACCATAATCCCGAGCGCATACTTTTAAATAACAATAAGTGAAATTTCATTTCTTTTGTTTGAGCAGATAGGCCGCTGAGGATTCATATATCGGAGAAGTTTTTTATGACCGCCCTGTATACAAGTATAATATATGCATGTAAAATTACATACTTACAATATTTAAGCACCTAAAACTCTTATTTGACCAGAAAAAAATAAAATACCTACTGCACTGTTGGATTGAGGTCTGAACTTTTTATATTGAAACGACAAAGTAATGCCCTTTACATCAAATGTAACGTCGATTAAATGTAAAAGCTAAGTAAAAGGAGTTACACTAAGCAAAATATTAGTAGTCTGTAAAATTATAGTAGGATAAGAAACAGACCAGACAAACACCAATTTAAATTAATACATCCAGAATCAAATGATTCAGACTTTGATAAAATAATTAAATAAATGGACAGCAATGATATGGAAGGAAAGTTAGGTGATAAAAGAGGGATAATATATAATATCATGTATGGCTAAACTTTCCAGACTTTACTTGCGCATAAATAATATACGAAACAGAACCTAACTATCAAGTCTAGCTGTTTGCATGTTTATAAATAATATTTCAGTTCCTTAAAATTTCGATATGAAATGAAGTTTAATAGAAATATCAAACTAAGCTACGTTACTGAAATGTTAATACACGCAATTTCATTTCTTAGTTACGTTTTTAATTTCTTAAAACTTTCAATCACAGTTCAAGATATTAACAAGAAATTTAAGTTGAAAATTAGGTTAATTTTTTTTTTCGGTTAGGAACTGTTTCGCATCAACAAAAATAACAATAAAATTTTCTCCGTAAACGTATGTTACTATCGCTTAAACTTAAGAATCTGTAATTTTGGGAAAAAAAGGAGATGTGGGCGTTGGAGAGGGAAAGGTTTGTACCTAGAGAATTAAGCAGTGCAAAGAAGAAGATTCTATCTTTCTAAAGCTATACAATTATATCACGGAATTTTAGCAGAAAATTCTCGATTTCAGCTCTGAACAGAGCGCACCTAAACATTTCTAAAATGAGCAGCAGTTGCAAAGTCCGTGCTTCGAATCCTTCGAACAGGTGATTTTTATCATTTCTCACACTGAAAAGTTTAACAATCGCCACAAAAATGCACTATGGTTAGTGATAACTCGTCACCACCTGGACTTACTCGGCTAGAAGTTTTGCCTATTCCTATTTGCCATTCAAGTGGGAGAGAATGTATGTACTTATCGCATTTCCTAGAGCGTGTTTTCATAGTGTATGTGATTAATGTATTCAGCTAGCAATTCGAAGATCTGCGACTCGAATCGCAACTGGGGTATTGCTAATTTTTATTGTTTCTTGCACCAAAAAGCTTGGTCTCTACAAACTTAAAGGCTAAGGAAATTGCTGTAACAGCAATACTCGTAATGCTGTTCAAGGAATTTTTTCCGGAGTTCTGATACGCAATGCAAGCAAGTTTCATACTAATAATTTTAATTTGACCTTTTATTTACATCATGTATTCAACACTGTTTTAAATTCTGACATTCCTCCCTTCAACTCGCAAATTGTGATTTTGACCTTCTAATAGGCGGGAACTGAAAGATGGGCGAGAGCTAAAACTGAAGGGTAGGGTGCTGTTTTCACTTTTCACAGCAAGGTTAAGATGATTTCACCCTGAATCGTTTCGATGCTTCTCCCATTTTAAAATATTAAATCCAGTGCAAGGTTCGGGTTAAACCAAGAAGAAAAATGTCGTTTAAACAGATGGATGTGTTCCTCCCTTATCTGAAGGCTGAAGTTTGTGGTTCATCGGAATGTAATCTTTAATGTTGAACGAAGCATCTATATATTTTTAACGGAATGTGTGAATATGTTTCACTAATTTTTTTAATTAATTAAAAACACCATTTATTAATATTCTGTATATTTGAAGCAGTGATTTTTTAAGCTAAATAAGGCATTCTTTTATTTTTAGAAGTAAATTATAAACACACGTACATAATATCATTCTGCCGTCTGTGAATTTACTACATGCTTATTGCTTATGACAACTTTCTTAAACTGTTTTTCTAATGAGCAATAAAATAAATAAATAGTGATTAGTCATTCAACCGTCGCAAGGAATCAGCATAATAATTACCAGGCATAATACCAGATTAGTATAATAATTATCAGGCTAAGATCAGTATAATAATTATCAGGCTATAATGCTTCTTGAAACAGCCTGGTAACAGGGTAAGAGCGATAACAAACCCTTGGTTTCTTTTTACAAGAATCTTGTCAAAACTGGGCGATCCGCTGCTGTTGCACTGTTAAATCCGCCACTGTTTACAGAATTAAATCAGCTTTTTGAAACCAGGTATACAGAATCTCAGCTCTTCGAAGTTAAAATTATTAGTGCTGATACTAACAGCTCTAACACTATTGCTGACAGGAATTAAGGGGTTTAACATTTGCTGACATTAACGGCTAAAGAAAATTTTAACGAGACCAAGAAAATATGTATTGTATGAAGAATCATCTTCCTAAGCTCACAAACAATAAAAAAGAAATTTAAAAGATTACAAATGAGAAGCTTGGAGTATTTATCATGAACATTTTTTTCTGTTATCGAACATATGTTTTACGACAGTAAATATGTAACTTTATTTATTCTTATACATATTTTAGAGACAGTGTTACAAAAGCTGAAAGTGTTTTAATGTTTATATTAAATTACACGTAACTCACACTTGGAACAACATACAAAACTCATACTGTAAATTATATTTTTCGTCTTAGTTAATTGCGTTTCGTCCAATAACATATTTAAAAAACATTTCAATGATCTCACAATCAAAATATTGAGCATGACCAGATAAAATTCTTATGAATAAGTCTTCCGGAAGGTATCCTAAAATTTATCCCAAACTAAGCTATAATTCTACAAAACTGACAAAAAAAAAAAAAAAAAAAGTTCATATATATATGTCTTAATTTTCTCGATCATTTGACAAAATTCAGAGTTTTCTAGCCAAAAGTTTGCTCGGGTATAAAAAATAGTAAAAAAGTTTGACTAAAAAGATACGATCTTAAAAATTACTAGATCTTAAAAATTACTTACTTGGGATAACAATGACTGACGGATTCAGAAAGTGCTTAAACTGCTTCTAGCATAATTTCTCTGATAATATCCACAGAAGATTGAAATAATAATGATTTTGCAATAAAGAAAATCCAATATCAGAATCTGTT